TTCGTTTCATCTGGTGGGTGTATCTGATGTTGGAATAGTTTCTGGTTTCTGGGGAGGATAATCGGAGGGTTTTTGTTTCATCTGGTGGGTGTATCTGATGTTGGAATAGTTTCTGATTTCAGGGGAGGATAATCGGAGGGTTTTCTTTTCATCTGGTGGGTGTATCTGATGTTGGAATAGTTTCTGGATTCAGGGGAGGATAATCGGAGGGTTTTCGTTTCATCTGGTGGGTGTATCTGATGTTGGAACAATTTCTGGATTTAGGGGAGGACAATCGGAGGGTTTTCGTTTCATCTGGTGGGTGTATCTAATGTTGGAATAGTTTCTGGTTTCAGGGGAGGATAGTCGGAGGGTTTTCGTTTCAACTGGTGGGTGTATCTGATGTTGGAATAGTTTCTGGATTCAGGGGAGGACAATCGGAGGGTTTTCGTTTCATCTGGTGGGTGTATCTAATGTTGGAATAGTTTCTGGTTTCAGGGGAGGATAATCGGACGGTTTTCGTTTCATCTGGTGGGGTATCTGATGATGGAACAGTTTCTAGTTTCAGGCGAGGATAATCGGATGGTTTTCTTTTCATCTGGTGGGTGTATCTAATGTTGGAATAGTTTCTGGATTCAGGGGAGGATAATTGGAGGGTTTTCGTTTCATCTGGTGGGTGTATCTGATGTTGGAATAGTTTCTGGTTTCAGGGGAGGATAATCGGAGGGTTTTCGTTTCATCTGGTGGGTGTATCTGATGTTGGAATAGTTTCTGATTTCAGGGGAGGATAATCGGAGGGTTTTCGTTTCATCTGGTGGGTGTATCTGATGTTGGAATATCTTCTGGTTTCAGGGGAGGAGAATCGGAGGGTTTTCGTTTCATCTGGTGGGTGTATCTGATGTTGGAATAGTTTCTGATTTCAGGGGAGGATAATCGGAGGGTTTTCTTTTCATCTGGTGGGTGTATCTGAAGTTGGAATAGTTTCTGGATTCAGGGGAGGATAATCGGAGGGTTTTCGTTTCATCTGGTGGGTGTATCTGATGTTGGAATAGTTTCTGGATTTAGGGGAGGACAATCGGAGGGTTTTCATTTCATCTGGTGGGTGTATCTAATGTTGGAATAGTTTCTGGTTTCAGGGGAGGATAATCGGAGGGTTTTCGTTTCATCTGGTGGGTGTATCTGATGTTGGAATAGTTTCTGGATTCAGGGGAGGATAATCGGAGGGTTTTCGTTTCATCTGGTGGGTGTATCTGATGTTGGAATAGTTTCTGATTTCAGGGGAGGATAATCGGAGGGTTTTCTTTTCATCTGGTGGGTGTATCTGATGTTGGAATAGTTTCTGGTTTCAGGGGAGGATAATCGGAGGGTTTTCGTTTCATCTGGTGGGTGTATCTGATGTTGGAATAGTTTCTGGATTTAGGGGAGGACAATCGGAGGGTTTTCGTTTCATCTGGTGGGTGTATCTAATGTTGGAATAGTTTCTGATTTCAGGGGAGGATAATCGGAGGGTTTTCTTTTCATCTGGTGGGTGTATCTGATGTTGGAATAGTTTCTGGTTTCAGGGGAGGATAATCGGAGGGTTTTCGTTTCATCTGGTGGGTGTATCTGATGTTGGAATAGTTTCTGGATTTAGGGGAGGATAATCGGAGGGTTTTCTTTTCATCTGGTGGGTGTATCTGATGTTGGAATAGTTTCTGGTTTCAGGGGAGGATAATCGGAGGGTTTTCGTTTCATCTGGTGGGTGTATCTGATGTTGGAATAGTTTCTGGATTTAGGGGAGGACAATCGGAGGGTTTTCGTTTCATCTGGTGGGTGTATCTAATGTTGGAATAGTTTCTGATTTCAGGGGAGGATAATCGGAGGGTTTTCTTTTCATCTGGTGGGTGTATCTGATGTTGGAATAGTTTCTGGTTTCAGGGGAGGATAATCGGAGGGTTTTCGTTTCATCTGGTGGGTGTATCTGATGTTGGAATAGTTTCTGGATTTAGGGGAGGATAATCGGAGGGTTTTCTTTTCATCTGGTGGGTGTATCTGATGTTGGAATAGTTTCTGGTTTCAGGGGAGGATAATCGGAGGGTTTTCGTTTCATCTGGTGGGTGTATCTGATGTTGGAATAGTTTCTGGATTTAGGGGAGGACAATCGGAGGGTTTTCGTTTCATCTGGTGGGTGTATCTGATGTTGGAATAGTTTCTGGATTCAGGGGAGGATAATCGGAGGGTTTTCGTTTCATCTGGTGGGTGTATCTGATGTTGGAATAGTTTCTGATTTCAGGGGAGGATAATCGGAGGGTTTTCTTTTCATCTGGTGGGTGTATCTGATGTTGGAATAGTTTCTGGTTTCAGGGGAGGATAATCGGAGGGTTTTCGTTTCATCTGGTGGGTGTATCTGATGTTGGAATAGTTTCTGATTTCAGGGGAGGATAATCGGAGGGTTTTCTTTTCATCTGGTGGGTGTATCTGATGTTGGAATAGTTTCTGGTTTCAGGGGAGGATAATCGGAGGGTTTTCGTTTCATCTGGTGGGTGTATCTGATGTTGGAATAGTTTCTGGATTTAGGGGAGGACAATCGGAGGGTTTTCGTTTCATCTGGTGGGTGTATCTAATGTTGGAATAGTTTCTGATTTCAGGGGAGGATAATCGGAGGGTTTTCTTTTCATCTGGTGGGTGTATCTGATGTTGGAATAGTTTCTGGTTTCAGGGGAGGATAATCGGAGGGTTTTCGTTTCATCTGGTGGGTGTATCTGATGTTGGAATAGTTTCTGGATTTAGGGGAGGATAATCGGAGGGTTTTCTTTTCATCTGGTGGGTGTATCTGATGTTGGAATAGTTTCTGGTTTCAGGGGAGGATAATCGGAGGGTTTTCGTTTCATCTGGTGGGTGTATCTGATGTTGGAATAGTTTCTGGATTTAGGGGGAGGACAATCGGAGGGTTTTCGTTTCATCTGGTGGGTGTATCTGATGTTGGAAAATTTTCTGGATTCAGGGGAGGACAATCGGAGGGTTTTCCTTTCATCTGGTGGGTGTATCTAATGTTGGAATAGTTTCTGGTTTCAGGGGAGGATAATCGGACGGTTTTCGTTTCATCTGGTGGGGTATCTGATGATGGAACAGTTTCTAGTTTCAGGCGAGGATAATCGGATGGTTTTCTTTTCATCTGGTGTGTGTATCTGATGTTGGAATAGTTTCTGGATTCAGGGGAGGATAATTGGAGGGTTTTCGTTTCATCTGGTGGGTGTATCTGATGTTGGAATAGTTTCTGGTTTCAGGGGAGGATAATCGGAGGGTTTTCGTTTCATCTGGTGTGTGTATCTATTGTTGGATTAGTTTCTGGATTCAGGGGAGGATAATCGGAGGATTTTCGTTTCATCTGGTGGGTGTATCTGATGTTGGAATAGTTTCTGGTTTCAGGGGAGGATAATCGGAGGGTTTTCGTTTCATCTGGTGGGTGTATCTGATGTTGGAATAGTTTCTGATTTCAGGGGAGGATAATCGGAGGGTTTTCTTTTCATCTGGTGGGTGTATCTGATGTTGGATTAGTTTCTGGATTCAGGGGAGGATAATCGGAGGGTTTTCGTTTCATCTGGTGGGTGTATCTGATGTTGGAATAGTTTCTGGATTTAGGGGAGGACAATCGGAGGGTTTTCGTTTCATCTGGTGGGTGTATCTAATGTTGGAATAGTTTCTGGTTTCAGGGGAGGATAATCGGAGGGTTTTCGTTTCATCTGGTGGGTGTATCTGATGTTGGAATAGTTTCTGGATTCAGGGGAGGATAATCGGAGGGTTTTCGTTTCATCTGGTGGGTGTATCTGATGTTGGAATAGTTTCTGATTTCAGGGGAGGATAATCGGAGGGTTTTCTTTTCATCTGGTGGGTGTATCTGATGTTGGAATAGTTTCTGGTTTCAGGGGAGGATAATCGGAGGGTTTTCGTTTCATCTGGTGGGTGTATCTGATGTTGGAATAGTTTCTGGATTTAGGGGAGGACAATCGGAGGGTTTTCGTTTCATCTGGTGGGTGTATCTAATGTTGGAATAGTTTCTGGTTTCAGGGGAGGATAATCGGAGGGTTTTCGTTTCATCTGGTGGGTGTATCTGATGTTGGAATAGTTTCTGGATTTAGGGGAGGATAATCGGAGGGTTTTCTTTTCATCTGGTGGGTGCATCTGATGTTGGAATAGTTTCTGGATTCAGGGGAGGATAATCGGAGGGTTTTCGTTTCATCTGGTGGGTGTTTCTTATGTTGGAATAGTTTCTGGTTTCAGGGGAGGATAATCGGCCCGGATGCCAGTAGTGGTGTGTTGGGACTGCAACCTTGTTTCAATTATTTTGCAAGTAACAATTGGACGGTCCCTTTTGCCATAAAAACGGTGGCTCTGCCAAAATACCGGTTTTCCGACTTATTCTTTTTTCTTGTCCGATAGGACAACTGCTCCTTGCGCCACAATATAAGCAGCAAAAATGGACTGTGAACTTAGTAGAAAATTATCTGGAAGGACATTGTAAATTAAATATAGATTTTGTCATTTAAAAGAAAGTTAACAATTGAATATCGACTGTTATTCTTCAACTTTGTATAAGAGTGTGTCACTAAGACTTGTGATCAACTCAATAACAAAGGCAGGTTTTTAATTACAATTATAATTAAGACTGCTTTGGTCATGAGTGGACCTTCAATACAGATACTACGCCGTATGTCACCCTCCAACAAATATTGATTGTTTCAACTTTTTGCTCGCCTTGTCCTATTTTGTCGGCATATGTGTTTATTTTCCAATCACCAACAACAAATTTTTACTTGTGCTCGTTTTATGTGATCGGGTAGAACAAGAATTTTTTTTTGAAAAATAGTCATCTTAAGAGCCATTTTAACAAGACCTTATAAGGAACTTGTAGAATATATGTACTTTTCTTGCTGATGGCCTTTGATTTCGTTATGCGAACAATTTCAAATAAGTCTTATCATTTGGTAATTTTAAGCCATCAAGCTTGTACCAAGAATGTGTTTCGGTAACTTTTTCTGTAGGTATCTTGGCTTTAATGTTATGTATAATGAATGAATGGTCTGTTCGAAGTATCACTAATATGGTGACTTCTGCATCAATGGAGAGCGCGGGAGCACCTGAAAGATCGCAATAGAGTTACATGACATCTGTTTGACTTCTCAGTGCCATCTCTAGAATCTGAATCGGGACAACCTTACGATCCTTGCGTATGTGCTACCCAGAATCTCTCAGTGAATCCTGCGCCAAACAACACCGCCAAATAAACCCATGCTTCTTCAATTTTGTTCTTATTTTACATCAACTTAATACATATCATCAATTATATACCTTATATTTCGTCACTAGTAGAATTATCTCCTCGCCAGTTTTATGATATACTACTAATTAATCCGATCTCAAGGACGAGGATGATGTTAATCTGTTTGTGGGTCACGGTCAACTGCGGACTGAACTAATTTCATTTCACGTGGACTTACAGCATTCAGCAGCAGAAGTTGGTTTTGATTTATAGGGTTCTAAGCTGGATCAGAGGGAGTGCTGTGTTGTATAGCTACTTAACTGTGTTTTTCAACCAAGATAGTTACAAAAGGTAAAGGACTACCGACAGCTTCGAGCGAATTGTGCTTTAACGGGTCGTACTGAAAACAAAGACATCGCCTCACAACACCCGAAGATACCAATTTTGTTGTCAGTCCAATTATACTTCACGCGTGAGTTTACAAGGATTTCGAAGTTTTCAGGACAACCTAGAATCAAGATCTTCATTTCGGGTTGTCAAAAAGCAACAACTCGTCTGTAAACAGAGTTCTACAACCAGCTACCAAGTGTGCTGCAGCAAACGACGCGACAGCGGTCGAAGTTAACCGAGTGTAAGTCAATTAAGATGCGACTACCCGAGGCGTTTAATCCCTTGAGTTCTGAGGTGGATTGGTGTGAGCCCAACTACGCAGTCACACCTTTCATCACAGAATTTGTCAACACGGTAAGCACTGAAGGAATCTGTGAGAAGAAATTGAGATAAATCCTCTCATTTTAAACTTAATTGATAAATGGGGCCTAGGAAATTAGACAAGCAAGTTAGACGACAGTAAAGAAATGGAAATTACGGGGCCTAGGAAATTAGACGATAAGCAAATTAGACGGATGCAACAAAAATGAAAAAGACGAAATTTAACATTATTACAGATCTGGCATTTTAGACGAAAAAGCTATGAAAAGGAAAGAACCAATAAAATTTTTTCTTTCAGTCAAGTTTCACAAATACAAAAAGAACATAAAATGACATTACCTAGCAAAACAATTACTTTAAATGAACATAAAATGACAAATCCAAATATTACAGAAGAGTTTTGAATTGAATAAATTATGCATGATTGACTTGTAAAATTTTTGGCCACCGAAATTTAACTGTTGTCTGCAAACAATTTTGTTTTTCTCACCCAATTTGTCTGCAAACAATTTTGATCTCTCTCACTTTCGTCTATTTTCTGACATTTGCAGTTTTGCAAAATCGTCTAATTTCTTTTTAAAAACCTCCGTCTAATTTGCTTATCGTCTAACTTCTCAACCCCCATAATTTACGGAAAACCATTTTATACTCAGGCGAAAGTTACTTTAAGTCCCCGGGTTGATCAAAACTTCTTATCGTACATTTTCCATATATAAATTTAATTTTTGAAAAAGTTTGGTTGTGTTTGTAATCAAACACAAATCACAAAGACCTTGGTTTACTCAAAGCACCAAAGTGGAGTTTCTCATGCATTTTCAATGCATAAAAAACGACCTGAATTATCTTCGAGCTGTCTTTCACAAGTGATATAAAAATAACTTTTAAAATTTGGCAAAATTTTTCAATGACAATTATTTTAAAATTTGAAATTTAAAATTATCAGACATTGATCAAGGCATACATAAACACGCCACACAAAAGAAATAAGAATTTTCTGCGTTTTTGAAAAAAAATTATAAAGCGAAAAGGAAAAAACCCCAACATTAGTGTATCCAGGACTACGTTATGCACACAAAAAAAATAAATTTTGCATGCAAAAAAAAATTTTTGGAAAATGTTTGCTCGCGTGCAAAAAATCGATTTGCGGTTGAAAAAAAAAACGAAAAAAATTGGGGGCAAATTCAAAATTACTTGAAAATTTTTTTGTGTCGCCATCAAAAAAACGCTAGTCATACAATTTCAATATATGGGAATTGTATGATAAGCATTTTTTTCAAAAAACGAAAACCTCTGATTTTTATCACCAGATTGTTTGATTAGAATCAAACAGCCACAGAAATTAGTTTCTATCTTTTTTCACCCATTTTTCGAAGTTGTATGAAAATTGTATGGCAAGCCTTTTCCCACACACTTTGATGTATAGAATTGTATGATAAGCATTTTTGGTGTATGGAGGTCAACCCGGGTCTGTAAACAAAACTCATGCAATTTTCACGCAAGTTATTGTTTAAATTTCGTTGTTTTCTGATCGTCTAATTTCCTGTCGTCTAAGTTCCTAAACCCTATAATAAATATTGCATTTAAAGTGTTCTTATTGTAATTGAAGTTAGAACCATAGCTCTGATAGATCGTGGCAATGTGTTTCATTTCAAAAATGGGTATTTGATATTAGGTAAAACCTAAGGTTTATAGGAAGATCGGAAATTTAAATTCCATCTACATTTTTTTATCGGCCATATTTTGAAATCTGTTTTTTTTTAATTTCAAATTGTGTTTTTGTTTGAAATGACACTTTAAGATTTCGTCATCAGTCTTTTTGTGTATGAACATTCCATATTTTCGCACGTTGGATAACCATTTAAATACTAATTCATTATCGGCAGCCAAATTTTCTAACAGTGGATGCACTGGTGGTTTGCGCCTAGGTGTCCAATCTGCCGCTGGTGGTGTTCCCTGTGGTACAGTACTACATCTACCTGCGCTATGCCTCCTTCTGCCAGCCCAACCTGAAGTTCCTCCTCCTCACCCTCCAGCTGGTGGGCATTGGATCCGCATACTACCACGCCACACTCTCGTCAGTACACACCTCGATAGATATTCAAAACGTATCCACTTTCAACAAGGATAGCCGGTTGCTCAAAATGTGTATTTTGTGAGTTGTCGCGGCATCAACAAAAGCGAGGTCAAAATATGCATTTTGTGATTGTCGCGGCATCCACAAAATTGTTTGTTATGTTCGATCTTATTTTTTCTTGGATTCCACGAAAAAATAACTACAACACTGTTTAGCTCAAATTCATCTCAAACACAGGTGAATTTACGGAATCGACAACAAAAATTGCGGAATCCGGAAAAGTTTGTGGAACCTACAAACAATGATAAAATACGTATGTAGCAAAAATGCGCTGTCGCAGAATCACAACTGTAAGCGAAATCCGCAAATTGTAAGCGGAATCTGCAAAGTGTATGTAAAATCTTCAAAATGTAAGCGGAATGGCATACTTTTGCGGAACCTGCTTACAATTTGAGGAATTCACTTACATTTGCGGATTTTGTACAACTAATGATATTCGCTCATTGCGGAATCCACGAAAAAATTAAAGTGCCGACAAAACTTAGTTAGACGTATTTCAGCTCGGAATCTATGGATATTTTGTAAGTTGTCTCTGAGTTCCAGAGACCTACAGACAATTCTTACAAGTTAGTGTCGTTTTTCGGTGCGGTGAAAGAACCTGAACGATAATATTTAACGGCAGGCATATTTAACAGTCAAAACAAATAAGGCAGATCAGACAACAAATTGAGAAATTTTTGAAAGTTTTGATTCCCAAAGTGGCGCTAGAAAAACTTCAAAAAACTAATTATATTTCGAGTGAAACTAAATTTTCACGGCTTAAATTAAGCATAAATAAGCTATGGTAAGCCTGCTTGCTCGCTTTTGCTCGAATTTATTCTTAAAAAATTTAAATTCTGTGTCTCGATACTGAGACAAACTTTTGAATTATTTAAATGTCTTTTGAATGACGAGTAAAAGTTCTTTAATATAATGATTCCGATGGTTATTTGTGGTACCTAATTTTGCGTGGAAAACAATAAAATGAAAAAAACTAAAACTCACCCAAATTCCAAAATCCACCCCACAAATTGATTATTTTTCTGCTCTGTAAAAATTTTGAAGTTATTAAGGAAATCATTAAGAGAAAAAAAGACTAGAAAAAAAATTAACCATTCCACACCCTCGTTTATGAAGCTTTTTTTGAAATAATGAAATTCAGCGCTTAAATATGATATGTCCAAATACTGCTTTTTTAAAAATAATTGAAATGAAAAGTTGCATTTTTTGACAAAGAACAGATTCAAAAAACCATATTTGTATTTGGCTGATTAAAGTTGGATTTTATAAGCGATTGTTTCATGGGAAAACAACGTAAAAAATATGTACACTATTCTTTTCTAGATTCGCGGGTCAGTTAGTGGATGAATGTGGAATCCTGTGGAGTCTCAGCTGGCTCTCAGCCGGATACTGGCCCAAACACCTGCTGCCTTTCGGGCTCAAATCCAGAACCAAATTCACCATTATTTTCATCTTTATCACCTTCTGCTGCACGATGCTCTCAATCACAGCACCCGCGTTCAACCAGTTCGCACTCATCATTTTCGGAGCACCCTTCGTGCTCACGGTCATGGCCGACTACTTCGCCTACAGAACTCCAACACACATTTACACCAAATGCTTTCCCAAATTCATCCTTGGGTTCGTCTTCGCCTTTGTAATCTGGACCCTGGACAAATCTTTTTGCCCCCTCTGGAGGTCCTTGTACATTCCTTATTTACACGGTGTGTGGCATATCATTAGTGCTTACGCGTGTGCCTATGGAATCGTGTTATGTGTGCATGAAGATCTAACCGTGGGGGGATACCCTATCGAAAAAATTCACATGAAGTACATGCCTGCTTGGATGGGAGCTATGGGAGTGCCTTATATCGATTTCAATCCGTAATTTGAAGCAACACGACAAAACTGAAGTGATTAATTCTTATTGTTGCAATTAATTCTCGCAACGGTCGCCTTAACAACTTGAAACGAAAAAAATACAACCAACGATAAACCATTTCACTCTACAAGAGGGGTGAAATTAACCATTACAACAAAGCTCTGATTGTCGTGAAAACTACCCAACCAATTAAATCGCTTCGGATGACTGCACCCTGAAAGCCTTCAAAGTTAAACAGCCACTGGTTTCCATTTTCAGTCGATTCCCAAAACAGGATCTGAAATGCGTTTATCTTCGGATCTGATTGTTTTTTGCAGTATCTTTGTAAATGTACCTCGCAAATAAAAAACTAAATAGGTTGGTTTTTAGTGAAATGTGGCAAGATTTGTGATGATAGAAGTTAAAAAGAACTAAATCGGAATAATTTTCGCAAAGATGAAAACGAAGAATAAATAAATCTTAACATTTTTCCAAATTCGCTGGGAGCCATTTCGCATGCACCCCTGTCTGCTATTTTCAAGTTTGGTTTTTCAGATTTTCTTCAACCACCGATGAAGAGGAAGTTCCTATATAGTTGTAGTTTATCTGACAAAAATCAAAAATCAGGCACCTCAAGCAACCGTCAGATTTGATGTTAAGTGATATATCTTCTCAGTCGTGAAACCATCTACAGTATAGAAAAACATTTTGTCCTTTCTCAAAACAAAGTTGCTTAGACGAGTTTCATTGGCGAAGATGAATGTCTGACGATAAACACCATTCAAGGTATTTTTAGCTAGTAAAGACTAAATATCTGCACTTCAGATATACACCATGTTGTGTTTTGGTACATAGAAGTGAACTTGTCAGAATACGCAGATTAACTACACTGAGCGACATTGAAATCGCATCATAAAATATTCGCAAAATTTTACCTCAGAATAAAGCGGCTGAAGCAAAATTGATTACATTTCATCTACTCATTTATATTTGATTCTTTTCTAAATTTGGGTTTTCTTGTAGGCTTGAAAACAAGTTTTGCCTGAAACAACCAGGAAAACCCAGTTTTGACCCAAAGAAAATAGGTATTTTTACGGCTTAACTTTCAGTTTTATTTATTTTATTGGCCTCAAAAATGCCAAGATTGTGATATAAACAAAGTATTAAAGTTCTATAAAAAGAATCGCTTAAGACTTAGATAATTTTTTAGTTTAATTTTGCCTAAAAATCTTATGTGTCAGCCTTATTTTGAGGCACGTCGTCAAAATCAGTTGTTATCTATCAGAGCAAGCATATAGATATTGTAAGAAAAAAACGCCCTAAATTTTTTTTGGATTACGAAGTTCGCTGTTGCGTCGACCACTATATTTGTAAAAACTATGCGCGTCATTTGCACATTAATTGTTAAGGCAATATAAAACACATTGGTTAAGAGTAATGAACGCAGTAAAGACTCTTATGTAAGTCTTGTTAATTTTTTTTGTTTATTTTTCAGGAAAAATCTTAAAATGTGCAAAAAATGTCCAATAACTACAGATGTGCATTCATACATATTGATGCATTTATTAATGCACTTAGTTATGTTTGCACTTTTTGAATTCAATTGAAAATCATCTGCTGAAAGTGACGTAAATAGCACTCTCCGAATACGAACGTGCAAATAGCTCGGAAAATCAGTTTTCTCTAGTTGGGTTCATATTATCAAAAAAATTCCAATCATAAATCGTTCTAGAAATTCGAAAAGCATAAAAGGCATCTTTTTTTCATTTAAATTCAAAAGTTGAGATTTTTTCAACATGTCAGTGTTTTTTTTATGTTTACTTGCGTTCATTACATTTTTTCAATCTTTGATTGGCTATGTTTGTACACTGTTGAAACATTGATTGCACAGTTCTTGTGACAAATGAAATTCAGATTATATGGGTACAGTTTTTGTTTATCGATAAATCAGCTCTGTTTCATCAAAAAAGAGCGCTCGGGCTGCTCTTACAGTTTTTGCTTGTACACATTTCAAAAAAAAATTGCGTTGACAGTGAAGTCAACTTTTTGTTTTTAACATGATAAGTCACCATGATGTGTAACGAAAACCAAAGTTAAAGAGCCATGAAAATGGCAAAAGATTGGAGAAAAAATGACATTACTTCGATTAGATTGACATTACTTTCGACATGACGAAAGTCGAAACAAACAATTTTTGACTGAACGTCAGCGAAGTGGCACTGTACAGGAAACGCTTTGTGAACGACAAAAACTAGAAATGTCATGAGACATATCTAAACTACAATGCATCGTTTATCCCAACTATTACTTGTTAGTGGAAACAATTTAGTTTTTGAAACTCGCACCCAACTCTCCTCCTCAATTCCCCTTTCGTCAATTTATAAAAAATTGTTCTTTTCATAGTTCGAAAGTATTTGAGCTGTCTTTTCAACTGGCTGTTCTTTTTCCTACTCTCATGGCCCAAATTAATCGATTCGTGATTACCAAAAATCGGAATGACTTGCAAATATATACTTTTCTTCTAAATATTTTTGATCTCGCTAACTTTAAAAAAATGAGCAACTAAATATAAATTGTCGTTAAAATCAAGTGAAATAACCTCTATAAAAATAATTACAATATTAAAATTGACAAATTGACAAATTTCTAATGTGCATTATCAAAAACAACAACTTAGCTGAGCTGCCTTTTCAAGTCCAACAAATCATCAATCGGATATTTTCCGAGTCCGTCAGGTCAACTCAACAGAACAGATAGACTTCGAGTCCTTAATTTGCATGATCAACAGTAATCTGTTTGAATTCTTGGGATTGTTTTTTTTTCAAAAATGGGGGAAAAGGGGGGTTTATCTGCATCCACATGCTTGCACCACCATGTCCTTGTAGCTCTTCAGGACTGGGGAGTTGTTCTGGTCCAAAAACAACAGACTTATTGAGCTGAGCTCTGTAGGGATGCATCTTGAGGGTCCGACAACATGCGGTCGGAAGGAGTTCACAACTGTCTGGACGATTGCGTGGTTGGTCGAGTTCACGTGGTGTGCCAGGGGGAAAGGACAGGATCCGATGCAGATGTATGCCTGGAATCCAGGAGGAGCCAGGATCCAATCGTCCCAGCGGATCTGGGAGAAGTCGATGTAGAAGAGATATCTGTTGCAAAGTTGGCTCCGGATGCTTTCCAGTTTTCTAGCTTTCTCACTCTGATCAAAACTTCCCTGAATCACGTTTCTTCTTCTTCTTAACTGTTTCTGGTCGCTTATCCGCGAGCTTGGTCCCACTTCTTTAGACTTATGCCGACAAGGCTCATTCATTTGCGTCTGGTCACGTGATTTCAACACCAAAACTGGCTCATACAATCGCATCCACTCTTGGACAGATTCGAGATTATATTTGCTCATTTTGAGTTTTATATGTTCAAAACTGTGAATTTCGTTGCTGCTGTGCAGAGGTTCAATGTTGATCAAAAACCCGCAACGCAGTTCGCTCGGCGTCGCCATCCAACTTTTAATGGATTCTGTAACATCGAAGGAATTCCACTTAGCTTCACTTTCGGTCAACAATTTTCGACTTTCTATCAACTTCTTCTTCTCTTTACTGTCATCGCATTTGATGACCTTGTCTTCATCGGCATTGGATAAAATTTCGTATACATGTACTGTGACGTGTGATGCGTTTCCAAAGGGATCCACTGCTTCTGTGAATAATTTCAGTTCTGCTTTCTGCAGGACTTCGTCCGGTGGAAATGTCTCCAAGTTGTACTTCAGATGTCTTTGATGAGAAGTTGCAACTTCTTCGATGTCTGAAACGGATATTTGATTTATTGGGACATAGAAGCGGTAACGCGAAAATTAACTTAGAAAGTATCACGAAAAGGTTTAAATGCACTGTTTGAATAGTCCTATCAGATGTTCCAGAAATCAGGGGCGGATCTAGGATTTTCTCGAAGGGGGCGGATTTTCAAAAAAATTTTGAAAAGTTAGACATTTTTTTAGGTCGACCAAATTGAATTTTTGACCTCTCCCAAATCACTAAATAGTCCCGTTTTGGCCACATTTTCTGCGCTGCAGGCAAAATTTTGAAAAAAAAACAAGCCAAAAAGGGCAATTTAAACATAGCTGTTTTGTTCTTCTAATCAAATGGATTTTTTCATTATTTAAGGTTCAAGTTTCATTTTTTTCCGGTTCTTACTTCACTTATTGCATCGCAGGCATGATTATCTCACCATAATTGAGTGGATGATAGCTTCTGATGTTTCCGTAAAATGTGAAGTCATCGTTCGGCTCCAAGTCTCTATGGTGTGTCGTTTCCTGATTGGCCAAATCCACCATGAACTGGGGCACCACAGAAGCTTCCGAGCTCCTTCTTTTTCTCGCTTTAAACTGGGGGTCTGTAAAGCCGAAAGCCTTCCGAAGTCCCATGTCAAGTTGCTTCAGGGAATCGGGGTCAAGTTTTCGACTTAACGTGGGAAGCTCTTCTGCAAGGATAATAGCGGGGTATATTGTTGCAAAAATTCGAAGAATCGTAATTACACTGATGGCCATTTTGGTCGATGTGGTAATTGAAGGGACCTTAAAAATAACACCTGTCAAGTGAGTAAACAAAAAATAGGAGCAAAAAACAGGTTATTTAACACTTGGGATAAGAAAAGAGTCTTTCTGGTGAGCGGGTGTCACAGGTTTGTATTGTTAGGTCGGAATTGTGAATTTGTTTCCTGATGCGATTGCGTGACGTGAAGTTTGTTTTGAAGTGAAAAAGTTAATAAAATTTGGGTCTTTGAGTAGTCAGTCAGGTAGGTATTTGGTAATTATTAATTGGAGATAGCTCAGGGACCACCACAGATAGCCCTGATTCGACAAAATCGCACGGCTTTGCCACTTCTCGATTTTTAATCCGTTATTATGACAAAAATGTAGCTTGTTGATGTGTTAACGGCGAGCTTATCTTCCACTTTGGAATCCTTTGAGCCAAAATTACGCGGCTGGAGATTCACCCCAAAAGGTAACCAGAACAGAACACTCAACTTAAGAGCCCCCAAATCAAACTCAACTTACCCAATTCGTAGAGAGTCTGAATGTGCGGATCCCAAACGTATATGTAGACCTCTTGATCCTCTAAGAGGAGAGATAACGAAAGTTGGTAAGTTTACGAGTGGTGTCTTCAGTTTTGTTTATTACAATATCTTAATATACACTTGGAAGTCTATGATCGAGTATCTTTATCTGCTCTCTCAATTGAGAGTGGCTTATAATAACAACAACAGCTTCTAATGGGCTGGTTACAAAAGAATGTACAGAATATTCAATCACCTGTTATTATGATTATACACCTATGTGCATTTTAATGATTAGTTTACTTAACAAGCCAATTTTTGTGAATTCTTGACAAAATTTTTGTTATGATTTGATAATCTTGTTGGCGGCTTCACAATAAAAACATGCTTACAACCTCTAATTAAACTCATTAAGTCGAACGTGAAAGCTGTAATTATCAAATTTAAACAGTCGAAAGAAGAGATTTTTGGCTACTCAGTGATTTTCAAGCAGCACTTTTTACAAATATACTGGCTAGCTAAAATACACACAGGTGCTTGTTTACTTTGGTCGTCGATTGGAAATGATACTACGACTTCTTTTTATAATTTACTTTATCTCTGACTGATGTCTTTTCTCTGACTGCATCAAAAATTGTTCGATTTGTCTCTAATGGAACTACTAGCCAAAATACCCTCTGTCTTTATTTAGCTTCGAGCGCGTATTGAATCCCTTCCAAGAGTTTTTTTTTTAAAAAAAAACAAATAACAGAGCCAGAGTCTTTGCTAAGACAAAAACGAATAGAAATCACGCGTTTTATTTTTTCAAGACGTGAAATGAGGACTGTTCTTAGACTTGTGGGATCCGTTTTTGTGGAAACTCTGAATTTTGGTAAAGAGACTAAAAAAAATCAATTTGATATTAGGACCGAAATCAATAGGACCGAATGTTGAGACCGCCGCAGTTGAAATTTCCAAAAACTTATTCTCGTTGAGTTGAATGTAGTCTAACGAAAACTTACAGAAAAGTAACCAAAACATTGCATGTGGCTCTCAAACTAAAACATCAGCGTGGTTATCCGTAAAAATATGACGCATTCGTATGTTGGCATATTCTCTAGAGAGTAAAAAGTTTAAACTTTCAACGAAAGATGTGAAAATATATTTTATTGGCACTGAAAAAAACTTTCCGACATTTGATGGTTTGAATCCAGTAGCAATTTGGGCCGCAAGATGTCTTTTACATTTGGGATTTGAGATTTGACCCAATCACCACCTAAAGAAGGTTTCCTCGAATAAAATTGTTGTACTTTTGTATGAACACCATTTTCGGCCGACCGATCTTAAACTTTTTCTAAAGAGGAACCTAAGCCTTTTCAAGGCGAAGCGCGAGCTGGGAAAACGCACATTTTTGCTAAAAAATCTCTAGAAAAAGGCCGTAAAATGCCATTTCTGGCCTTTTTTTCAAACATATGCCTGCGGCGCAGAAATTTAGCGGGAAAATAAGGTCTTTAAAGTGCTTCTGAAGAGGTCGGGCAATCAGTTTAGTTGACCTAAATAAGATCGGCAAAAGTTTCAAAAATGTTTTGACAATCCGCCCCCTTTTGTTTCAAAAAAATCCTAGATACGCCCGAATTTGAGTCATCAGTAAATTTCGTAGCCACGATCAGCTCAAGTATTTTGACGTCGAACTGAAACATGCCGTCATTGTGTTCAAAGTTCGTATATTTTTCATCAAAAACCACAGATTTTCGAAAATGCTGTTAAGTCAAAAATCAGAAGGAATCCATCGATATTTGATTAAGCTGAAAGGCGTTAAAGTTGGTTTTTTTGATCGAAAGGTTATATGGATCCCACAGACAAAGCAGATTTTCAAGGCGTATGCATAGTTTTGGTTTGTTTTAGTTCCATCGACATACATATAGCCTTTGCAGTGAATTCTCTTTTAGAAATCGTGAATTTATTGATGGTGAAAAAAAAACACAGAACCCAGAAATAAACTGCGGAATGCTGCGAAAACTGTTATATCTATCGACAAAATTTATACTTCTGTGAGAAGACTGCGAGTTCGAGTAAAACTGTGTAGATTAGTTTCTTTACAACGGGTGCAATGCATTTGTCTTCAACTTCTTTGAACAAAAAATTATTTATCGTCATTTTTTGAACACATCTTGGCTCAAAATTTTGAAAAAAAAAACTGATTTTGTCAAAGTAATTAGGGTGTCTTGTTCTGGATTGTTACGTTTTCAATGCTGCGATCTAAAAATAAACTTCAAGTAGTTTTTTAATTATTGTAAAATTACCTTTTGGACAAATTCAGATAAGACTTTTTTTTGGATAAAACGCTCTTATTAACAATTGCTTAGGAGGTATAAAAAGACTGCTCGTATCAGAACGGAGCCCTAAATCTTTCAATTGCATTTTCAAATTTATGGATTAAATGTTTCCTTTGAAAAAAATGAATGAAAATTCCGGAAAAAAATGTTTGATTTTTTTCAATCCATCTCCAACACGCTTTTAAACAACTAAGTGATAAGTTTTGCATATAACAAAAATTTCAATAGACCAAAAAGCATACATCAGTTCAATTTGGAACAATTTTCAAGACGGAAAATTTTTTGAGTACGCGTTGCGTTGTTAATACGAAATATATCGCGCGTTAGTTATCGCAAATTGGCGGTTATTAAACCCCGATATTTTTACTAAAAATGGTCCCCGTTAAAATACATATTCTTTCCATTTATTTGAGCTCAGAACAAAAACATTTCCAATAAGATTAAAAAGTTTTGTCAAAAATTGCTAGTTATAAAGTCGAAGTTGTCTGCAGAAAAAATCACTCGGAGCACTAACATGCCGTCTTTTCCTTTGAAAATTGGAACATTAGGGAATTGCTTAAAGTAAAAAGCAGGTAACCATAAATTGTTTGTACATAAACATCACTCGTATGCTGGTACTTTCCTTGGCAGACAAATCATCATTGTTTATCTAATCGGTAAACTAGATCATAAATATGAAACACAATCATTTCAATCAAAAAGATAAAAAACATGTAAAGATAAAAAATTTGTGTGCTTGGTGTTGTTTGTTTTTCAGACAAATTTGGACTTTTTAACTATGTCCCTTGGATTTATTTTGTAAAACACTTCTGGGTAAATTTCATGTAATTTTTCAATTTTTCCAGAAAACTGCAAAGAAGACAAAGCTGAGCATTCAAAAATGTCAACTTTCCTGTTGATCAATTACAGAGAGGAGAAATTCACTCTTTTTTGTTCCGTTTTTTATTTCATTTTCCCACTTTGATAAATAACGACTCACATTCAACTGCATTTACTTTTTTGAACATACAAAATTTTTCATAAAAATATTTGATGCCAAAAGAGTGTTAGAAAAATTGCTGTTCGAATTTTAAAATTAATTGGGTATGATATACCACTCATTGTCTTACGACTCCATGTTCAATTACATATCAAACAAAATTGCTTCTATCGGGGCGAAGCCTTGAAATTGATTGCTCCGACTGTAATTTGAGTTCTATGAAAAAACTGCTTCCTTCAAAATATAGTTGAAATTTTTAAAAAGAATGAAAAAAATAAATATTCAAAAATTTTCGAAGTTTTTTTGAAAGTTATCCCTCCACAAGCTATGTAAAGTGCATTGTGATATTTTTTGCAATTTTAGGAAAGTGTTCGATAGATTACATAGCCTGACCAATATAATTTGAAGAGTTAAGACTAGTTAAGCTTCGCTTTCGCGTTAGTAGCACCATATATGTCGAGCTGTAATGATCGGGAATTGGCTGCTTTTAAACACTCATAAATTTACGAAAAATGTCCACAGCTAAAATATATTTAAAATTTTGAGCTCAGCTGCTTGCTAAAAAGTCCAAATTGGTCCGGCAGGTTAAAAAACCATAAAAAGCACCCCGAGCACAAATATTCCATCCCATCCTATCCTTTTTTTCAAACATATACGAAAAAAAGACGAAGATACGATAACTCAAAATTCATCTTGATATCCTATGAAAGGTTGTTTTTTGGTTCAACTTTTTTAATTGTTTCGTTTTTAGATAAGTTTGGTGGAATAAGCTTTTGGTGGATTTTTCTCAAGGCAAACTTTTGACAGGTTTTGTGAGCAGTCTGAAATATAACGATACATTGCATTAACATTGCATGCTTAAAATTTCATTCACAGCAATTTATAAAAAATTATAGGGATTTGAAATTTGAGCCAACTTTCTTTTAATGCGCAGCGCCACCGCCAATGCAACCGAGCTTGGAAATTTTTCCGAATTGGATTGAAGTTAGCTAATGGATCCAAGTTTTGAAATCCAAAAAAAAAATGTTTTTGCGTGTAAATTTAATAAAAAAAAAGAAAAAAGTTTAAGTTAAAATCCTATTTTAAATTTTATCTTTTGTATCAATTCGAGCCTTTTTGTTGGCTTTTCAGAAGGAAAAATTCAGTGGTTTAACTGAAATGGTATACAGGGTGTTTCAGATAGATGTAATAAGTATCACATCATTGAGCTTCACGATGAATCACCCTACGAAAAATTTTTTTTCGAGCGAACCTGCCCAAGTCAAAGATTTAAATTAAAAATTTGTTCTCACGTTCTTTTGCGGTTTAATGACTTTTCTTGCATTTTGTGCTGAACAAGGTTCTATAGTATTGAATTAAAACAACCGGATAAAATGAGCTAAAACTGAATTGTTAAACTCGCTTTTCTCAATTTCACGTTGTTTGACCGAAAATTAATGAAAATTGCTAGTGTACCAGCTTTTTTATGGTGCATTGTTTTTGGCAAGTTTTTGAACCAAAATTACACCCTTAAAGCGGATCAATTTGTTTTGTTCAAAAT